TTTGGAATAATTTTGAAATTTCTACTTCAAAATAAATACATATACCAATGTTTAAAACCATCTATAGAGTGGAATGTAGTGATAAGCATTTTTTCTTGTTTGCTTCTTTTATCTCACTTTCCAATCCCTAAACAAACCCAGGCAGATGATGCACCTGTAAGGTGTCAGTGGGATCAATATGCATTTTCTGTCAGAGGGAATGAGTAATTACTCATTATTGGTCAAAGGGTTGGACACTAATATGTGTTGATAAGGACCTCATTTCAACTCCTTTTTGCTCTCAGTTCAGTTAAAAAAATGTCTGCAAACAAGTGTCTCAAATTTGACTATGGCGACCAGTAAACGTAAAACGTTCTCCATTGATGATAAAATGGGCATAATCTGAAAAATTGAAAGTGAATGCAATCAAGTTGATATTTGCAGGGAATATAAACTATCCAAATCTGCAGTTTGTAACATATGGAAAAATAGGTAATTAATAATTTCTGTCCATGAAAAAAAATTAGACAGCAGAAAAAAGTTGAGAAAAGCAGATCACAAGTTATATCTAACTTCCTCACTTTTTTGGTTCACTATATCCACAAAAAGTAACATTTTACGTGTATAGCAAGGCACGGGACCGATCATTTCGTTCACTATATCCGGCAGTTCACTATAAACGGTGTTCACTATAGCGGGGTTTGACTCTTTTGTCATTAACATTATTTTAATTTTGTTTTCTAAAACTTTGATATTTTAAAAGTGACAAAGAAAATCGGTATTTGTTGATAATTTATCCCTAGGCATTGCTTGATTTCAATTCAATATAATTACCTTTTAACAACCATCATCAAAGTTTTACCGTGAAGCCAAAAAAAGGAGAGGGAGCTATAATAATCCTAGTGCTTTAGAAACACTTTTGATTCATATTTAAGAAGTATGCAACATTTCAGTTGCTTTAGAATAAAGACATTTAGATGTACCATTGACTCCTTATTCAAGGAATGTTACGGGAAATTTGGATGCACCATTGACACCTTCCTCAAGAAATGTTATGGGAAATTTAAATGTACCATGACTTCTTATTCAAAGAATGTTATGGGGAAATTTGGATGTACCATTGACACTTTATTCTAGGAATGTTAAGTGAAATTTGGATGTACCATTGACTCCTTATTCAAGGAATGTTATAGGAAATTCTGAATTGAAAGGGGGGGGGGAAGATTCAGATTTAGGAAAAAAATCTCAAATCAATATTGCTTCTGTTATGATAGATTTTTTAATATTTTCCCTCTTTTTTTTTATAAAACGTGTGTGCTTCAAAGCAATGTTTTGTGATATGCAAACTCAATTATTCAATTTCCTTAAAAATCAAGCATGTGAATAGTTTTTGTTGCACATTGGATTTTTTCTGCATTGTTGCAGTTTCTCTATTATTTAATTTTTAAAAAAATCGTAGTTTTATTTAAAACAACATGAATGATTTACTAGTTATGAAATTACTAAAAATTAGAGAATTGAAAAGTTTTTAAGAAGTTACTCTAATGGATATCTTACTTATATTGACACAAAATTTATCGATTATTTTAAATTATTTCAAAGCTCATTGAATAGTCTTAAAAACAAATATATATATGTTTTTTCATATTATGCATTCCAAAAGTTCATTTTGAAAATTAAACTTTTCTTAATAAAACCATAGTGTGCATTAATTTATGTTTCATTCTATGTAATTAATGTTAATTTGAAAATCAAACAACCAAAGCATTTGAGCAGTGTTGGAATTGCAAGATTCTATAAATATATGTCATACTCAACATTGAGCTTTTATTAGAATTTAAAATCTTAAATAATTAATTTTACTCTATTTTTTTTTTTAGGTTCATGGAAAGAGGTTTGTGTACAAATTTGTATGTGATCTAAAAAGTCTTCTGGGTTATGATGCTTATGAATTAAATAGATTAGTAAAACAATGTGAAGAAAAATGTCAAACTCCATCGCATACTGTCCTAACTTATCAAACTGTTGAGACAGATCATGTTTCCTAAATCAAACTTTCACTTTTTTTAATTTATTTATCAAGTTTTTCAAATGAAGGTTTATTTTGCAAGAAAATTGAATTGGCCTTTGTAAAAACTTCTAGTTTTATGAACTTGACTTGGTTTTTTATTATTACAGTAACAACCAATTTCTTATTCAAACTATGTATAATCAAATTAGAACAGAGATTAGCGTTTATATTTAATTGTGTAAAAAGTAATAACTAGAGTTGATGGAAGTATTGGAAATATCACTGATTATGAACAAATATTTAAGTTTGTTTCTTTTTATTTTTAAAAAATGAATTTGAATTGCATTTTTAAAACAGTTACTAAAAAATCCTTCCCAAAGTGGGGCAAAAAGTGCCAGAAATTAAGGGACTTTAGAAATTGGATTGGATTAAGGGTTCTGTTTTTTAGTAAGTCTTTTATTATTTTTACTAAGAATAAATGCCCATATTTGAACGTCTTAAATCTTAAAGCTTTAATACAATGAAAAACTTTAAAAAATGGCCTTAAGTAGTTTAAACAAAAAAATGTGACTTTAAAAGGTAGTTGATCTCTTTTATAAGATTTTCTATTATTTTTGGTTTTGAATAACTATAAAATGTATTTTATTTTTTAAACCTTGAATTCCTTATAAGCTTTCATTACTTAAATTGAATATTCTTTCTTGTCAAGTCTATCACTTTTTATCATTGCAAATTTTGTCAAATCTCTTTCAGTTGTATACATTTTGTTGCATTTGTAAAAATTCAGCATAATCATATGTCACCAGATTTTATTATAGTAAATTTAGTATTTTATAAGAGGAGTTCGCTAATATTCATGTGATAAGACCTTAATCAGCCTAGACTTATCTGTACATATTCTTCATACACTGATCTTTATTTTCACCCTCAATAGTTAAAACTTATGTTTAAAAAAATAAAAAAGCTCAGAGAAATTAGGATGTTTTTTTTGTGTATTTTTTTTATTCATTCATTTATTATGTTTTTTTCTTCTTTTTGTTACATAAGGAAGTTGTTTTAATTGTATTCATTTTGTAGCATATAGTATACAGAATGCATGTTTTATTCTACTTTTCTATATATTTTTACAATTATACATTTAATAATACAAAGCCTTCAAGTTATTTGTAGATATCGAAAATAATCAGATTTCTGCTACCGCTAATCCCTTTTAACTTATGTATATACCGACTGATTCTAAGCCAATTCTTTCTGTAGCTCTATCTTCTATTTAACAAATCAGAGTTTTTAATTACAATATGAGAAAAAAACTTATTTCTGCTCTTTGTTAAATTATTTTTTTAAACCATAAAACAGTTTGGTTACATATTGAGTTTTTCAACTCTCAACTTTTTTCTTGTTGCATTGTATTATGTTGGGTAATTTGACTCAAATCCTAGACACAGTCCTAAATCAATCAGAAACTCAATTTGTTTCCCCTCAACATTAATATTCTGTTATCAACTGTCAATTTTGAAATGCATATGTATATTTTCATTCAAGCAAATGTAAAATCTATGTATCACATTCAAATAAATGTATTATATTCGAACAAATGCGTTGTATTAAAATAAATGTATTGTATTAAAATAAATGTATTGTATTGAAACAATTGTAAAATATTTATAGTAAAAAAATCAACGTCCAAGCATGGGTGATAACCTATTTTTAATAAAGCAAATTTAATTATCTTGGAGAAATTAAAAATTTTACATTGCAGAAGGAATTTAACTTTTGTTATAAATTATCTTTACCCACGTTTAAAATAATAATTTTTTCCACTGTGTCCCTTACCTTACCCATAATATATGTTTATTTAAATTCTGTTTTCTCACAAGTGGACAATTATATTTCAAAATATTACATGAACTGTGATATAGTTTTGTCACAGAAGAGGCATTTTATTATTTGTTTCAAATAGATACTAGACATTGTTAATATTTTATCAAGTTAAATTTATTAAATGCATATTTAAAATGTTTTACAGTGTTTTATTTCCCTTCCATTAATCAGTACTTTTATTTTACTTTAAACTTGTATAAGTGCTTCTTTAAAACCAGAAATTATCATTTATCTAGTATAGAATTGTGTATGTGTAAATTTTTATAAATTTACTGTGCATGATGCCTTACAATTGAACTCTTTAATAGTTTTATAGGTTTTTGTCTTGTTTTATATCATTAGTTACTTATTTATAGATCATTTATTTTTATCATGTATATTTAGATTTCTTTTAGTTAAAAAAATATGCAAATATTTTCATTATTTACTCTGATATTTATATTTTCCCTTCATAACTTTCACTGTTAACCTACAAATATTTCAACTGTACAGATCTTAAGATGTTGATATCGACTTTTGAAATGTATGAAATAAATATTTTCAAACAAATCTAAATTGTTATTTTTTTTATAATTTCTGAATAAAATTTTAACAAAAAGTCACAAAATTTAGCATGCTTCTGCATTCTATTTTTAAGAGAATAAAAAATTTTCATCATGAACTTCCACTAGAAAATTTTATATTTCTAAATTTTCTGGATACTTTGAAAATTCATGATTAGGGTTATGAAAAATGGCTAATTTATTTTTTGTTAATTACTGGTATGGATCAGCTGATTCATATCATATTTGCAGCTAGCTATTAATATTCAACTTCACAGCAATGTAATTTTTAACTCAGCTGTGAAATCAAGGGGTTTTTCTAGATCAAACATTGTGACAAACTGGCCTTATTGGAGGACTTAGAACTCATACATTGTTTAGCATGGTGAGGAAAATCATAAAAATCTCCCACTTTTAGCTTGGCGAATAAGAGATTTCAACTCATGATTTGTCTCACACTTCGTAGAAGAGAACCTTCTGTCTTCAATAAGGGATGAAGTTCAAATCGCAGCAAACAGACATCTATTGAAGTGTTCTGACTTCACTTATTAGATTGAAGCTCTATGTTTTTATTAAGTCAATAAACAACCAATGACGTTTTTTTATTATTGACGTTAACATAAAATTTTGATTTCATAATTGGATCAGAATAAATTTCACATGTGAGCAATCTAACTTAACTAGCCATTACTTAAGCACAGATTGCCTTTATCTGTTTCAACAAAAATAAAATTGTAATGGTATTTTGAATATTAATGCTGTTCAAATTATATAAAAATAATACAGAAAAAGCTTCGTCTTTTATAATACGCTAATTGTGCTTTTATTACAATAATGCAATTTCCTTATTAAAGACAGATTGTTTATTAAAAAAAATTATATTGGTCACTAAGGAAAAACTTATTCAAATTAACTGAATTATTATTTTAACTTTTTGTAAAAGTTATATTTTGAAAATCTAAAATCTTTTATTCTGTCTATGAAGTGTAAAAAAAACTTTAATGGAAAGATAAAATTAAAAAAATTATTTTAAACTTAAGATGTACAGTTAGCAAAAAATAAATATTTTTTATCTTGTTAAATAATCTCATTGAATTAAAAAATTATTTTAATGTTATAAGAGATCACTTCAAATGTGACAATGAGTGTCGATAATAATTTAGGTTATAGAAATAACCTCAAAAATTTACTTTTCTGATTAAATACACATTTCTCACAAATTTTTACTACATTCATATAAGATATGACTCAAATAGAGCACTTTAGAGCAATCAATTGCAAATGCACAAATCGTAAAATTTTTGTACCCATTATAAAACTCACTTTCTCCAAGATAGTTCCACAAAAAAAATTTAAGTATTTGTGTTATTTGATTTTAATATTGATTAAAAAATCTTTGAACTAATGAATATAAAATTTGTCTCGTATACATTTGGAGAGGGCTTTAAAAGTATCTTACCACAGTGCCTTTATTAAAATATTCTGATACCCTAATATAAGAAGTAGCTATTACTACAGTTAATTAAACATCAATAATTGTTTGGTGATATTTTATAGTCCCTAAATGCAATTTAATAAATAACTCCAAATAAATAAAAATTTAATTCATATAATACATAACAGTAAAAAATATACAAAAATTAATAACACTTTTAGCATTAGAGTAATAAAATAAGATCAATATCAGTTATATTTAGGATAATTTTAGATGAAACCATGTAATAAAGGTACAAAAAACAATCCCAAAGGCACAATGTGAGTACAAGAATATATAAAAATAGAAAAGAAATCCCGCATACAATATATAAAAATTCAAAACATTTTGGCATTGTTGGAGCACCGGCACAGATTTCAATATCAGTTACTTTTAATATAACTTCAGATGAAATCATGACAATCTTAGATGCACAATACAAAAAGAAGAATCCAGGATAATTAGTAGGTAATTTCAATATCACTCTTTTTTAGGATCATATACTTGCCCTTCCTGTAAAAACAAGAAAATGGATGAAAAGTCTTTTTTGGAAAAAGCACTATTTGATGCAACTCTATACATCTGATGAGCCAGAGAGCCTAACGGGATAGGCGAAGAAGTTTTTGTAGCAGCCAACTGAGCAAGTCCCAAATCTTTAGCCATTAAAGCAGTACCAAATCCTCCTTCATAGTTATTTGATGATGGCACATTTTCCATAACACCAGGGACAGGATTATATACCTCACTGGCCCAGCATCTACCAGAAGACATGTTAAGAATTTTACTCATCATTTTCGGATTCAGCCCAAGACGAATACCGAGATTCATTGCTTCAGAAACACCAATCATTGATATTGCTAAAGCCATGTTATTGCATATTTTAGCAGCTTGTCCAGTACCAACCTTACCGCAATGCACCACATTTTCACCCATGCATAAAAGTATGGGTTTAATTGCTTCGACTTCCTTGTCGTTGCCGCCAACCATAAAAGTTAGTGACCCATTTTTAGCAGCATTTACACCACCTGAAACAGGTGCATCTAGTAATGTAGCACCTCTTTTCTCAGCCATTATAGCAAGATCTTTCGTTACAGTGGGATCGATGGTACTACAGTCAATTAAAAGTGTACCAGGTTTGACTAATTGGAAGATTCCATTTTTGGCGGTGTAAACTTCTTGAACATGAGGACTGGAAGGAAGCATAGTAATGATTCGATCACATCTCTCGGCCATGTCAGCAGGATGTTGTGTTATTTGCGCACCACTGTCAGCTAGTTCGGTCATGGCTTCTGGATAAACATCATATACCATTAAAGGGTGTCCTTTGTCGAGGAGGTTTTTCGCCATATTTCGGCCCATATTACCTAATCCAATAAAACCAAGAGTAAAAGCTTGGAAACTATGTTTAGCAGTTGTTAGTGTTCGTTTACTTAATTTAGGGCGACCATATTCACGACTTATATTTGTTAACAAAAAGCTTTCTTTACGGATAAATCGTAAAACTGACATTATATAGCCTATATTTGATGAAATCTTTGCAATATTTTTAATAATAATCAAAGACAAATTAATGCTACAAAGAAACAAGGAAGAAATCAGATAATTTAAATCATTGCTTAACGAGCTGATGACATTTTAACTGATTGTTTATGTTCATTCATTTGAATAGTCTCTTTTCTCACTAATGATACTATTTGGTTTGAATGAAGGCGACGAGTATATTTGCAATTCATTCTGGTTTCGTCTTTAAATAAAATTAATCTGCTGAATTATATTTATTGCAAACGGACAGAAATCTTTATAAATTAAGAATAATCACTGAACATGGTTTTTCTGTATAAAATAAAAAAGAGGTTCATAGCGACAAAATTAAGACCAAGCGTTGATGAGATAAAAATCTTCCGAGTGAGATTTCGAATCGTAATCGAATTGCTAAACCTAAACACAGAAAATGGCTGAATACTTGGCTTCAATTTTCGGCACAGAAAAAGATAAGTATGTTATTTATTATTTTAATTATTCCTTCTGTTTGTTTTAATTTTAGTAATTAATGCTTTATTTCCTTTTCGATACGTGGAATTAAGATTTAAAATTCTTAAACTGAGGAAAACATAGTTAAAGCTAGTTATTCAAATATAGTAACTTCATGATAGTTAATTATCATTTAATAAATATTATTTAAGCATTGAGTGAAGAATTCGAATTACTGCTGTAATAATTTCATATACAATATCACTTTATATGTTTTTGAATTTTAGATTAAGCTCCTACTAGCTCGTTATTTATATTATTCTAATTTATTCTTTAGCGCCGGTAAAGTAAAACATATTTTAGTGATAATAATCCAGTGGTAACAATTTTTAAAGTTAAAGAATGTAGATAGCTCCTCGTTCTCGACCAATTTCAAAGTATTAAAATTTCGAACATTTAAATGTATTTTTTCCTGTTGATTTTTTTTTTTTTTTTTTTTTTAAAAATTGTGATAATCTAAATTATGCTAAATGTTGAATCATATTTTTCACAGAAACATGTAAATAAATAAAAGCACAGTTGATTATTGTTATAACATGTTTTCATTTTTTAAAAGAGTCAAATTTGTGATTGTGTAGAAATGAATTGAGTGCCTTTTGAAGAATTTTTGAACAATCCTGTTTGATAATCTCAACTACTCTGATGAATCATTATTTTTTTTAATTTGAAATATTTTTGTTAAATGACATAATAATAATAATAAAAGGTATCAATTTAAGACTTCTCAATGAGTTAAAATTCAATTAGTTTATTTTAATACTTGGGAGATATTTAAGTCTGACACTATTGCTATGAATATCCCCTATCTAAAATGTTTTAATTTTTCCCGTTAATCTGACCTTTTTTCAAGTTTTAGTGTAAAAATGATAGCGAAGTGGCTTAAAGATTGAGAATTTGCTCCACTAGCTTTGGTTCTTAGAGAGCACCCTGAGTTTTTAAGCATAAAATTTTATATATGTTGTTCATTGAACATGTAGAATTTTTTATTTGCTTGCACAACGACATATTTTATTAGAAATACTATACAAAATCAATTATTTTAGGTGTAAGATTCAGTCTTTTGAGTTATAAAATTTTTCTCTAATTATTACAATTAAAACTATAAGCATTGTTACACAAAAATGATTTTTTAGAAAATACACTCTTCTGGAAATTTTTCAGAGGTAAATTAAAATACAAGGCTGTAGTCCAAAATATGGGTTATATTATGATATTCATGGAACAAATGAAAGAAAAAAATTTAAAAAAGAAAAGAAAAAGCTTACTAAATTGATGAAAGGTTAATAAGGAGTATTTTTACTTCTGGTTAGAATCTGGAATCTGAATCTGGTGTATGAAATAAGCACCTGGATGCATATTAGTGACCTTTGTATGTTACTAAATTTCTTCTGAAGTATTACTTCTGAATTATCTTTTAATTTCATTTCATTTGCTTTGTCTAGAGTCAATTGTTCCTTCTACTTTAAAATTGGAGCTTGTCGTCACGGAGATAGATGCTCAAGAATCCACAATAAGCCAACTTTTAGCCAGGTAAAAAATAAAAATATTTCACCTTATAATTTAAAATTACACGCATTAAAAAATTAATTAAAATTTATTTTCTTTTTATGTAGACTGTACTTCTCCAGAACTTGTATCATAACCCACAAAATTCAGCTCAGTCAGCTGATGGATCACATTGCAAGTTTTGTAAGTATTTACTTCTGATGATGCAAATTATCTGTCTGTAGCTTTCGCATTGTTCCATTATTATTGAATTAATTTGAGCTGTGCTAAATGGGTGTATGTATATCAGTAAGTATGTATATCTATCCTTTATAAGTAAAAAATACTGATTTTTTGCTTGCATGACAAAGGGTAATTTCATCATGCAATTTTCTGTCTTTAAATTATGAACAAGGTTTTTGTTAAAAAATTTTATAATTATTTTGCCGATTAAGCATGATTTTTGTATTTGCCGTGTTACCTTATTTCATGTATAATTTAACACGCCACTCAATAAGTCTCTTGGTCTGACACATAGATGGCACTACTGCTAACAGAACCATACGATTTTTAGATAGTAAGATTTCTCAAGCAGTAACAGTCAAAATTTCTGATTATCTCTTTAGAGGTTAGAAGTGCTTTAAGTGACACTAGCTTATTAATTTTTAAAACAATGGATACAAAAGAATTTCATATGTTCATTAAGCATTGTTTTTTGATAAGTTGAAATATTATAGAAGCAGAACAGTGGCTTGATAAGCATTATGGGGACTCTGTACCAGGGAAGTCAACTATTATTGACTGGTATGCTGAATATAAATGGCATAGTGAAGACACTGATCATGCTGAATACTGTGGTTGTCCAAAATCAGTTTTAAAAAAAAGTTCATAAAATAGTTTTGAAAAACCATAAGGTGAATTTGCATGAGATAACTGCTACCTTAAAGCTATCAAATGTAGTGTATTTACAATCTTACAAGAAAATGTTATTCTGCACAAGTTGCTTTCGCAATGGGTGTTGCATTAACTCTCACCAAACCAGAAGGGATATCATATCGACCATTCAGAACACTGTTTAACTCCTGATAAAGCAAGATAAGAATGATTTCTAACATCAGTATGTGACTCACTTCCCCGTCCACCTTATTGTCCAAATTTGCTTTCTAGTGGCTCTTTGCCGACCTCAAAAACATGCTCCAGGGAAAGAAATTTGACTCAAATGTAGAAGTTATTATTAAAATTTTTGTGTATTTTGTGAAGCGCAGACAAATAGTTCTACAAAAAATGCATTGATAAGTTAAGGAGCGTTGGAGTGAATGTATCACTCTTGAGGGGGAGTATGTTGACAAATAAACTCTTAATTTCTAAGAATATTAGTAAAACCTGAGACCTATTGAGTGATCTGTTAATTTTCACAGTGCAAGCATGTCCAGTTTGAAACTTTTTTTTTTTTGGAATAAACTCAGAAGGATTACAAATTGTTGCAAATGTATGAAATTTATTCAAATTGAGTATTACTTACAACTGTAAGATGTTTATTTTTTAATATTTTAGTGACTAATTTATCAGAAGAAGAAGTTCAAGAACATTTTGATAATTTTTTTGAAGATGTCTTTGTTGAATTGGAAGATAAGGTAGTTATAACTTTCACAAATATCACTGATGTTTAGAATATTTTACTCAAAATGCTTACCTAATTTTGGTGTTAGAAATTTTTTTTCACCCCAAAAAATTTTTTTTTTAATTTTGGGCAATGAAACTGATAAATTATTTTGTCTGTGAACTTTCAATGTATTTTAATTGAAATTTATTCATAGATTTAAAATTTTTTTTTAAAATTTTCTTTGGTGTATGATATTGTTTAAAAAAATGTCTTTACGTGTGTCTGTAATTTTATGAAGTGTTTTTATTAATGTTTTTTTTTTTTTTTTTTTTTANTTCATTTTTTTTTTTTTTTTTTTTTAATATAGTATGGAGAAATTGAAGAAATGAATGTTTGTGATAACCTTGGGGATCATTTAGTTGGAAATGTGTATGTCAAGGTAATGTATACAAATAATGGATTGTTTTGTTTCTTTTGTGAAATATTTATGAAGAATTTATCACTTGAACACATGTTGAATTTTCATAAGAAAATATAACTCATTTCCATTCTTATTTAATTATAATCTTGTATAATTCTCTTTTGATTTATTTCAATAACTGCAATAGATTTATGTGTACTAATTGTAGAAATTTTTCTTATATTGTCTGAGATCTATTAGAATTTTAAAGCAACTTTGTCATAGCAATATTTGATTTTAAATAATTTTTAAATTTATCAGTCTATCCGATTACATAAAATAATTTAAATGGATTTCTTTCATCAAAAAAATGTGGTTATTTTTCTCTCCCAGTTTAGGTTTTTAGTTATATAATTCTTCATTACTAATTTTTTTATAATTAATAGTGAACCAAAGAAACCCTGTTCTGTCGTTAATGAAATGGTTCATACATGAGAAAACAACTGTTTTACCCAGGTATAAAAGACACTATTTTCAATTGTTATCCTGTTTGGCTTTTGATTCTTTGTAATTTAATAAAATTCAATATTTTCAGAATATTTTTCCTACCGATTTTCCCAGGTGTTTGATTGAAGAAAATTTGGTGCTTTTTAAAATATTAATTTTTTAAAACAAATATTTAAGTTTGTCAGAAAATTCTACTTTGAAATTAAAAATAATTCAACTACATAGAACCAATTAAACTGAAGAAGTTTTTACATTAATGTTCTGGTGTTTTGTGTTAGTTTGATTAAATATCACTATATAATTATTTAATTTATATATCTGTTACCAATGGGTTTCAAGAATATTTTTAACTGATAGCACTTAATTTAATAGCTAATTTGCATTTTGGAATTAAATTGAAACTAAAAACAATTACTTTATTCCACCCAAAAATGAGAAAAAGAAAAACAATTATTAGAACTTTATATTGCTCATTAAATTTTTCAGATATGTTATAATAAAAAAATTTAGATGTTAAGACATAATCTTTAGTTTCTCACCTTACTACCCTGACTCCTACACTTTATTTACACAATCGACATAAATAAAATTAAAACAGCTAGACCAATAATAAACTCACTAAATTGGATTAATTTTATGTTTTTAAAATGATATTAATATTAATTGTTCTCTTGAGAATTATTTTAAATGTGGAAAGCAGTAGTTTTCTGCAAGATCAAACTTTTAGTTAACCAAAATTTTCTGATAAGATTTTGGATTAAAATCTAAATTTTAACATTATTATGGTTGGGAAATTTTTTGTGTTAGTTGTTCAAGTTAAAGAGAGGCAACTGTATTTTTAAATAGATTCGGTTAAATGTCAAATTCATTATCAGAACAAGTTAAAAGATGTGATGTTTCCCATCAATCCTTCATAGTCAAAAATTATTTTGAAGTGTTTCCAAGAGCTATCTTAGTTTTTTTTTTTTTTTAAATTGTCAGTTTGTTGAGACTAAATCAAACAGAATGATGTGGTCTTGCATTAATTTGAGGGTTATATTTTTCTTGTTTCATTGGCAATCTTGTTTTATTTATTTTTTCTCCCTCTATTCTTACAAAAGTCTTTTTATTTATTTATTTATTTTTTAACAAAAACTTAACTGTAACAAGTAAAATTAGCCTAGAGTTGTAACTAGGACTGGGCTATAAATCGATATATCGCGACATATCGATTTAACGCCTATATCGGCAAACCGATACAGCAACTTTCATTCCAAGCGATGCATCAGAAATCTGATTTAAGGCGTCGGGTGAAGAAGACGATATAGCGATACACGCAAGGACTTTCTCTTACGTTCCGATGCCAACTCGCGCTGTGGAAGACGATATTGTTTCGTTATGTTGAGACGGCCTTGACTGATGAGCGGTAGAATCAGAATCACTTTTGAGACCTTATATCGTTATATCACATGTTCGTTTTCGCACCTTCGCGATTTGAAATCGTTTCTTGTAGATTATTTTCAATGGGATTAACTTCGTGATCGCCGTCGTA